TCACACCCATCCTGACTAACACACTAACTTACACCCGAACACACTCCTTCACACCCATCCTGACTAACACACTACCTTAAACCCTACACCTACTCCACTCACATCCATCCTGACTCACACACTACCTTACACCAACACACTCCTTCACACCCATCCTGACTAACACACTACCTTACACCCACACTCCTTCACACCCATCCTGACTAACACACACTCCTTCACACCCATCCTGACTAACACACTACCTTACACCCTTCACACTACACACACCCATCTTCACACACACTCCTTACACACACTCCTTCACCCACTTCCACCCATCCTGACTAACACACTACCTTACACCCTTCACCTACACACTCCTTCACACCCATCCTGACTAACACACTACCTTACACCCTTCACCTACACACTCCTTCACACCCATCCTGACTAACACACTACCTTACACCCTTCACCTACACACTCCTTCACACCCATCCTGACTAACACACTACCTTACACCAAACACAAGCCTTCACACCCATCCTGACTAACACACTACCTTACACCCTTCACCTACACACTCCTTCACACCCATCCTGACTAACACACTACCTTACACCCGACACCTACACACTCCTTCACACTCATCCTGACTAACACACTACCTTACACACCTTCACCTACACACACACTATCACTGACTAACACACTACCTTACACCCTTCACACACTCCTTCACACCCATCCTGACTAACCCACTACCTTACACCCAACTAACACACTACCTTACACCCAACACACTCCTTCACACCCATCCTGACTAACACACTACCTTACACCCGACACCTACACACTCCTTCACACCCATCCTGACTAACACACTACCTTACACCCTTCACCTACACACTCCTTCACACCCATCCTGACTAACACACTACCTTACACCCTTCACCTACACACTCCTTCACACCCATCCTGACTAACACACTACCTTACACCCTTCACCTACACACTCCTTCACACCCATCCTGACTAACACACTACCTTACACCCAACACACTCCTTCACACCCATCCTGACTAACACACTACCTTACATCCAACACACTCCTTCACACCCATCCTGACTAACACACTACCTTACACCCTTCACCTACACACTCCTTCACACCCATCCTGACTAACACACTACCTTACACCCTTCACCTACACACTCCTTCACACCCATCCTGACTAACACACTACCTTACACCCTTCACCTACACACTCCTTCACACCCATCCTGACTAACACACTACCTTACATCCAACACACTCCTTCACACCCATCCTGACTAACATACTACATTACACCCAACACACTCCTTCACACCCATCCTGACTAACACACTACCTTACACCCTTCACCTACACACTCCTTCACACCCATCCTGACTAACACACTACCTTACACCCTTCACCTACACACTCCTTCACACCCATCCTGACTAACACACTACCTTACACCCGACACCTACACACTCCTTCACACCCATCCTGACTAACACACTACCTTACATCCAACACACTCCTTCACACCCATCCTGACTAACACACTACCTTACACCCAACACACTCCTTCACACCCATCCTGACTAACACACTACCTTACACCCAACACACTCCTTCACACCCATCCTGACTAACACACTACATTACACCCTTCACCTACACACTCCTTCACACCCATCCTGACTAACACACTACCTTACACCAAACACAAGCCTTCACACCCATCCTGACTAACACACTACCTTACACCCTTCACCTACACACTCCTTCACACCCATCCTGACTAACACACTACCTTACACCCTTCACCTACACACTCCTTCACACCCATCCTGACTAACACACTACCTTACACCCTTCACCTACACACTCCTTCACACCCATCCTGACTAACACACTACCTTACACCCAACACACTCCTTCACACCCATCCTGACTAACACACTACCTTACACCCTTCACCTACACACTCCTTCACACCCATCCTGACACACTACCTTACACCCTTCACCTACACACTCCTTCACACCCATCCTGACTAACACACTACCTTACACCCTTCACATACACACTCCTTCACACCCATCCTGACTAACACACTACCTTACACCCTTCACCTACACACTCCTTCACACCCATCCTGACTAACACACTACCTTACACTCACTTCACACCCATCCTGACTAACACACTACCTTACACCCTTCACCTACACACTCCTTCACACCCATCCTGACTAACACACTACCTTACACCCTTCACCTACACACTCCTTCACATCCATCCTGGCCTACACACTCCTTCACACCCATCCTGACTAACACACTACCTTACACCAAACACAAGCCTTCACACCCATCCTGACTAACACCCATCCTTCACACCCATCCTGACTAACACACTACCTTACATCCAACACACTCCTTCACACCCATCCTGACTAACACACTACCTTACACCCGACACCTACACACTCCTTCACACCCATCCTGACTAACACACTACCTTACACCCAACACACTCCTTCACACCCATCCTGACTAACACACTACATTACACCCATCACCTACACACACTCTTTCACTACAATCCTGACTAACACACTACCTTCACACTCCTTCACACCCATCCTGACTAACACACTACCTTACACCCTTCACCTACACACTCCTTCACACCCATCCTGACTAACACACTACCTTACACCCAACACACTCCTTCACACCCATCCTGACTAACACACTACCTTACACCCAACACCTACACACTCCTTCACACCCATCCTGACTAACACACTACCTTACACCCTTCACATACACACTCCACACTCCTTCACACCCATCCTGACTAACACACTACCTTACACCCTTCACCTACACACTCCTTCACACCCATCACTGACTAACACACTACTTTACACCCATCCTGACTAACACACTACCTTACACCACACACTCCTTCACACCCTGACTAGACACACTACCTAACACACTACCTTACACCCTTCACCTACACACTCCTTCACACCCATCCTGACTAACACACTACATTACACCCATCACCTACACACACTCTTTCACTACAATCCTGACTAACACACTACCTTACACCCTTCACCTACACACTCCTTCACACCCATCCTGACTAACACACTACCTTACATCCAACACACTCCTTCACACCCATCCTGACTAACACACTACCTTACACCCGACACCTACACACTCCTTCACACCCATCCTGACTAACACACTACCTTACACCCTACACCTACACACTCCTTCACACCCATCCTGACTAACACACTACCTTACACCCTTCACCTACACACTCCTTCACACCCATCCTGACTAACACACTACCTTACACCCTTCACCAACACACTCCTTCACACCCATCCTGACTAACACACTACCTTACACGGACTCCTTCACTCACTCCTTCACACCCATCCTGACTAACACACTACCTTACACCCTTCACCTACACACTCACACCCATCCTGTCACTAACACACTACCTAACACACTACCTTACACCCTTCACACCCTACACACTCCTTCACACCCATCCTGACTAACACACTACCTTACACCCGACACCTACACACTCCTTCACACCCATCCTGACTAACACACTACCTTACACCCTTCACCTACACACTCCTTCACACCCATCCTGACTAACACACTACCTTACACCCTTCACCTACACACTCCTTCACACCCATCCTGACTAACACACTACCTTACACCCTTCACCTACACACTCCTTCACACACATCCTGACTAACACACTACCTTTACATCCAACACACTCCACTCCTTCACACCCATCCTGACTAACACACTACCTTACACCCGACACCTACACACTCCTTCACACCCATCCTGACTAACACACTACCTTACACCCTTCACCTACACACTCCTTCACACCCATCCTGACTAACACACTACCTTACACCCTACACACTCCTTCACACCCATCCTGACTCACACTATCCTGACACCCTAACACACTCCTTCACACCCATCCTGACACACACTAACAACACACTACCTTACACCCACACTACCTTACACCTACACACTCCTTCACACCCATCCTGACTAACACACTACCTTACACCCTTCACCTACACACACTCCTTCACACCCATCCTGACTAACACACTACCTTACACCCAACACACTCCTTCACACCCATCCTGACTAACACACTACCTTACACCCGACACCTACACACTACTTCACACCCATCCTGACTAACACACTACCTTACATCCAACACACTCCTTCACACCCATCCTGACTAACACACTACCTTACAGCCCAACCCATCCTGACTAACACACTACCTTACACCCTTCACCTACACACTCCTTCACACCCATCATGATTAACACACTACCTTACACCCAACACACTCCTTCACACCCATCCTGACTAACACACTACCTTACACCCTTCACCTACACACTCCTTCACACCCATCCTGACTAACACACTACCTTACACCCTTCACCTACTCATTCCTTCACACCCATCCTGACTAACACACTACCTTACACCCTTCACCTACACACTCCTTCACACCCATCCTGACTAACACACTACCTTACACCCACACACACACACTTCACACCCATCCTGACTAACACACTACCTTACACCCTTCACACTCCTTCACACCCATCCTGACTACTCCTTCACACCCATCCTGACTAACACACTACCTTACACCCTATCACACACACTCCTTCACACCCAGGACAACATCAATGTGATGCTTCTCATTAGGATAATGACCTGATAATAAAAGTCAGCTTTGTGTAGGCTTTTTCACAACTAAACTTGCTCATTAATGTAAAATGTGGAGATTTTGTTAAACTCACAACAAGGCCAAATGTGCCCATGGTGATTAAATAGAAGCAGTAGAAATACATTGACAAACCATTACTCACCTCAAACATTTCTCTCTTTTCAATGTTCCACTCGTGCGGTAGAGTCCATTGTTCGGGTACAGGGGAGTTTTTGTTAAGGCCATGCACAGCCGGCATGTCTACATTACTCCCTGTTTCTGAATTCTGGTTGTTGTCACCTCTTCCTGTCGCCATTTTGATCAACTCAAGTTTACGATTTGATAAAAAATGTGTGTGTAAACGTCGAGATTAAATAAGCTAAAACTTCTGTCGACAAACAAAGTGCTTTGAGCCGGTATTTAAATTACTTATCACATCTGAGTTTAAAGTCAGACGTGAAATTGATTACTAGATAAATAACCATATACATACAAGTATGGAGAGAAAGGTGTTCTGTATATGTTTTACATCGTCATCCTTCCTCATGAAAAATTCAACACAACAAACTTATCAGTTGGGTTATTCGGCGAGACAGAGGAAATCAATCATTACCCTCGGAGGTAGTACAGCCGACCGGAAGTATCCGTTGTCAGGTCCCGACCAAGGCGATATCGTCCAAGTTGTACATACACTATACAGCTATACTATCAATTTCTTTTCTTACTCTAAAGTCTAATCATTATCACTGTTTCATTGTTTGGAGGAGATGTATTGTATTAAAAAAATATTCTTTTATGAATATATGTTTTTTGTTATCATAAGGCTGAACAATGCTAACATACTTATTCACTAAAGCTAACCATGCGATGGAAATATAAGTAATATTGAATATGCAGGTATATACCTGTTATAGCCGTTGAGACTACGACAGGCTACACATACTGAATATTAGGTACACATACATACATACATACATACATACATAAGCTGTTCAGGCGAAGGTTGTATTGTTGTATTCGCCAATCAACAGACTTTATTAATCACACCTATTATACTGCGTCTGTGATTGTGTACCGTGTATACAGAACTCAAGAAAGGACTACTTTTAATAAGCTTTGTTATCACACACTTACGCTCAAGTTAAATTCCAATAATGTAATTCTCTAATAAATACTGAAATAAGTTTATGGTATTCAGTTATTAACAAACATGAACATTCCTCTTGGTAGTTTTCAGAAAATTTCCCGAAATGCACCTGTAGGACGAAAACGGTAATTTAGAACCTATAAATAGAAATCTATACTAGTGTACTCTTCCGATAAAAACTTAGACTCGTTTTATAAACTGAATGTGCTTCAATAAAAAGACAGTTGTGTAATCTATTTGATACTTGTTATGGTTTTGCTCCTATTTTCGAAATCGAAAGAAAACTACCGTATCATAGTCTGTGACACACTCTCTGTTTACAGCGACAGCAACAAAAATATCAAGTTTGTTGAGTTTCCTTTACACATGTTTTCAACAGAGAAGAGAACATCACTGACACGTCTATCAACGTCGTGTTGTTAACTAAAAGGTTTTGCAGCTGTCAAAGAAAGAGAAAGTTGAATCAATTTGTTAAAATGTCTGTAATGCAAAACGCTCAAGATAAACCTTAGTATTCAAAATTCTCTCTATCTGTAAGATGTTGTTTGTCTTACAAGGTGTAGGTTGAAACCAATTCAATCTAATTCAATTTCTTCAAAACGGAAAAATTATTAGCTAACATTGAAAGCTGAAAATAAATGTAGAAACACATGCACTATACAGGATGAAGTAATTAGTAAAAATCCAAACGATGAAATGAGGGCACAATCTTAACAATGATTTATGAGGAAAAGAAAAGGAGAAAAAGGCCAGATGTTCCGGAAGGTTACGGTCTTCTCAACCATCATGTAAACCTTGGTCATACAAATTAATGTCATGTTCCTGAATGTTGAAACGGTTAACAGAACTGTAACACCAAACGTCATAAAGATAGAATGTGATATTATACCAGTTTAATATACTCATGTACCAAGCAATGATAGCTGATGAAGACATGCCACGATCCAGATGAAATAATAAACCCATAACTTCTCAGTCAAAACACCTTGGCGCTTTATTTGTTTTTCTTGACTCTGTGTTGCCTGTATCCAACTCTAGCGTCCTCATAGAAATCGTTCGGCTTCTGTGACTTCAAAATGTCTAGGTGTTATGCCATACAATAGTCGTCGTGTTGACATTTAAGACTGTATTAAGCAACAAAGTGGTATCAAGCTTCCTTTATAATTATCTATTAATTACCTTTTCTATGTCATGTTTACTTTAAAGTATTCGCAATTGATCTTAAATGTACTCCAGGTAAATGACAATGATACTATTCAACCATATAAGGTTTCTAACCAATTTGGTTAAAGTTCAATTTCATTTTCTGGCAGTAACTTCCAAGGAGGCCACCTATCGCGAGCTCAGCACTTGACGTAATATTCATTTAACATCCTCCGTGTTTACCTTAACAGCAATATATCTGCAATCACACACGAAATATTGGTCGTGTCGGAACACAAGTCTGTATGAAGTTATCTTTTTTTCAAATATAATATGTTAGCATTATCCCAATATTGAATAAAACCAATTTCTAAAAGTTACCATATTTATTTTTCATAGTCCTAAATTAATTAGTTTTTCTCGTCAGATTTTCGTTATAGCTGTTCCGTTATAGTGTAAAGTAACCATTTTGTATCTTTTCTGCTACAACTTTCATTGTCTTATAGTTCTTTCGGGATGACATCAATAGTGTACCGTTCTGATCATGGCGTTCATTTGTAAATTTGTTGATATTACTGCCAGAGCTACAGTTACTACTGTCCAATTAAGAATGTCCAAAACCCACACACGTGAATAGCACCTTTAGATACAAGTATTCGCTTAGTGACAGCACAGTCATATCAGGATTAAAAATACATTGTACATAATTGTACAGGTAATTGCTTTTTAACTATAACGAAATAGTTCGCTGAAGACAGCTCACAAACAATGTAAGATATTTATGGTAATAAATCATTGTATTAATGTTTAAATTTTAATATTTTCCACTAATTGGTTTGTTTTAAACAACCTGCGAATGCCTGGCTTAAAATCAGTTTGGAATACCACGCCTACGTACTCTTTCCGTGATAAATGAATCCATCTGGAAAATTCAGCATAAAAACTTATAATTTCAATACATTCTGTGATTAACACGTTTCACTGATATGATCTTTATGGTAGCATGTTACCTTAATTAAAAAGTAAAACTCAGGCATAACAGCATAGAAGAACGAAGTAACACGAAATCGGAGCTCATACACAGCCCACAGAAATTTTATATAAGGTGTCAAGCATGTATGACATCCAAACTCACAGTTAAGATATGTCTGACCAAACCAAACCCTATACATCGTCCGTTCATGTATTATGTAACATAACACCTTAATCCATATACATTTAAATATAAGATAGTTATAAAGCAAAGTATACATACTACAGGTTATCCTTACATTGTCAAAGATGACGAAAGATATTAACTGTGACTGAGTAACTTCTTATATAAACTGGCGGATTGGAAATCTTGTACGTTATCTCATGGCTATTACATTTATCAGCAGATATCCCATTTTATATTTGACACCAATCCTTACAGTGTAATTAAGTGTACATGTATCCCGGTACAGTTATACAAATGCACATGCTACACAAACAGTGGTGTAAAATTGGTGTATTTGCACTCAATTACTTTCTATACAGAACAAAGTAAATAGATATATCATTAAACACAGTTGTAAGTAATAACTTCTATCTTGTGCGGTATAAGGTAAAATGGATCTTATTTGTGCAGAAAATTGAGTTCCTTGGCTATTGATTTAACGATAGACAGAGAAAAAATCCTACATAAAGTATAACGTATAGTTTTTTTTCTGAAAACCTGAAGTGGAATAGATCATGACGTTATTCCTGGTGGACATATAAATTTGTGGGTTAAAATGCCATATAAATTAATGAAAATAAAATGTCCACGAAAAATCAAAGATTATCAAGTATCCTATAAAAAAGCTTAATGCAAATATCAGTGTTTCATAAAAATACATTATTTAACAATATCTACGTGCTGTCCTGTCACCATTAAAATAAAACAGGGCACAAAAATGAAAAAATAAATGAACAGAAAAGAAACTGACACCCACTGTGCTGTGTTAATAATCTAAGTCCAACTCGTTTACAATCAAACAGTAAAATATGTTTCAATATAAAAAATCTAAAATTTACAAAGGTTTTGGATACTGAGATATAACCTATGCAATGAATCATATATTCTTTTTTACTTTGGATACACAATGGAATAGATGCTTACCAAATTTGTCGATTTTCTTGAAATGAATGTTATTACGTTAACACATACACAAGGATTACAATATATAAAATTAAAGCAAGCTTCATATAACTGCTGGTTTTCTGTATTTCTTTCACAAAACATTTATTAAGATGACTTCAAGAGATTGTTGTGTAAAGTCAGAACTTGGAAAATAAAAGTCATGTCTATGACGTTAAACAGAGCTGACAATCTGGAAGTATAATATTTTTTGGACTTCATAACTTACTTTGGCCACACTAAACAAGTGTAAGGGGAGACTACTCTTCTTGACATAACGGCAAGTAAATCTCGTGTATCAATATTTATGAAACCCCATAATGTAACCAAAATACATGATATATCTATTCAACTGATATATATTTATACAAAGATATATGACACACTTTAATCATCCTTGTTTTGGCGCCTTTCAATATTTACATAGATACAATACATCGAGATGACCCGATTCCTACAACTGTGGCCATTTCTTATTCACTAATCCTTACAAATCTAATATTTTGTTTTGTCTGTACGTTTACCATGTATAAACATTAAAATCATTTCCGTTGCCTATTTCCCTGTTAACCCCGAACCCCCCAACCCCATTTTTTGTTATCATAAACTTATTTAACATTATGCAATAGTGAAGATAAGTAAAGGGGAAAATCTCCTCCTACTTTAGAAATTTTCTGTCATTTTTAAGTATTTAAAGTTGCCTGTTGTGGTATATCCATCTAGATTGGCTATTACAAAGTTGATGTATGGTAGCCCCATTCCTATCACCAAAGATAACTGGTAACGTGACTTCCTAATGAAAGCCTAAACATCCATCTATATGTACAAGTGTATATTTCGTTTCAGTAAAGCAAACTATTTTGTGGCGAAAAAAAAAAAACTTTAT